ACAGTAGAGAGGTGTCCGATTTCAATTATATAGTTAGTGGCGCGGGTGAAAAAAATTCATGGCTTTCGTGTCGCGATAGTCCAGCCCAGATTCTGAGCAGCAGCCCGCCTGGTCATGAGCCACTAGCGACTGTCGTCCAGCTTCCACTATAGGACGACCGTCGAAGTTTGCTTTCCGACGACGTGCCGAGCGAAACCTTTTCCTTCGAAGGCCGGCGACGTAACCAGGCGAGCGGAATAGAGCAGCCCTAGAGAGCACATTGAGGTCATTCAATAGAGCTCGTGGTATAGTAGAGAGGCGCTCGCCGGCCGGCGCAGTGCTGCTCTGAGAGCTGCGAGGGGCCGCCTTGGGCCCGAGGCCGAGAAGACGTGCCCATAGGCAAGTTAGAATGTTCATATATGAGCTTCACACTTCCATCGAGTACTCCCATTTTACTGACTGGGGGTGCGCGCGCGCCGTCCTGCAGCGTCGCCGGCCGCAGGCCAAGGAGCTCGGCTCCTCGAGAGCACCGACGGACGACGATCGGCTCCTCAGCAGTGGGACGCCGAGCTGGAGGCTCGGCCCGGAGCTCGCGCGGGCACGTGGAGCTTTCCGCTCGGGCCAGCAGGAAACGGGCGCCCCGCACAGCGACGCCCGCCGTAGAGTGCCGAGAGCTCGGCTCGACGCGAGCGCCGAGGAAAAGCGATCGGCTCCGCAGCAGTGGGACGCCGAGCTGGAGGCTCGGGCGGGAGCTCGCGCGAGCACATAGCGAGGTGCGTGCGCGGCGGCGTGACACAGGTGAGCGGGCAGCTGGCGCACATTTCGACTGTGGGAGCTGCCAGGAGTTTGCTCTCTCCGTTCACACCCCTTTGCAGAATTCTTTGCCCTCTACTCATAGCGGTGGTTGAGGCCGATTGCCTCAACTGTCAACCACGTGGTTGACAGAGGCCTCAACCCTCAACCAAGTGGTTGACAGAGGACCCCTTCAACCCCTCAACCACGCGGAATGGCTGTTCACACCCCCCGCGCAAAGGTCTGAACACAACATTCTCTGTGACCATTCATGTCGTCTTGTTTAGACGCCTGGATGTTGCATTTGACGCGCCGTTTTTACGAGTACTTGCTTCAAGAGCTCTCTCTCTCTCTCTCTTGCTTCAGCTACGTGCGTGAATGGGAGGTGTGATGCAAAGCCCGGAGGGGCGCTGACAGCCATCGAAGGCCCCCACGGGGCGGTCCCGGCCGACGTCATGGCCGTCCGCGGACGCGGCCCTCCGTCTCCGGAGACATTACCGAACTCAAAACTGCTTACCAAAGGCAAATACGAGCTCAGCTCAGTGAGATCTAGCAGCACATACCCTCAGTATCCAGAATAGTAAAGTCTGAAAAAAAGTCGGTCCGACCGCGCAGAGCGCAGTGACCAGTGTGCAATCTTTACCGGTATGAGACTGGTATTTGGCGATATTTTGATTAGTTTAAAAGTGGTATGGTATAGTGGTATGCGAAAGTGGTATGCGGGGTTTTCAGTAGTTGTAGCGGCTGTCGGTGTGGTCCCGGGGGCGAAACCATGCAAAAGTGCGGGTATTACCCGGGTATACCCGGGTTTTTTCAGGTATACCCGCAAAATACCCGGTATTTTGCCGATTTTGCCGATTTTGCCACCAAGAAGGCACTCCGACTCGCTTTGATTTCCGTGAGGCAACTGGTATCCCGTACCACTTTTTGATTAGTGCAGGCCTTGGGTTTGATTAGCCAAAAACTCCCATACCGGTAAAGATTGCACACTGGCAGAGCGGTCTAGCTGTCTGCAGAGCTTCCGTCCGAGCCCTGAGAAATGTCGGACGGAGGCATGTCGGCCCATGTTCGCGATTTTGATGGCGTTGCCCTTATTGCACGTGAAACAGACCGCGCCGGCCACGCACCCTTGTTCCCGGAGGCCAACTCGAACAGGTTTGAGCAATGGCCGCCTTCCATGCTCGATATGCAGCAGGAGCTTAGTTGACCCTGCTCTAAGGCCGCCCTGCTCTCGGCATTGCGTTGTTGACTGATTAGCACTGTCTGATCCAACCAGAAAGAGCCGTCGAAGAGCCGTCGAGCTACATGAGAACCAAGCAAGTCGTCGTGATGTACCAGAAAACGAAACTAGCGCCAAAATTGAGATCTCAGCACTCAGGATCGACATTAATTTCTCGCGCCTACTTTCGCTGCTTGAGACTCGCCAAATAGATCCTGCGTCTATGACCGTGTGCAACGTCAAGTCGTGAACCGCGACAAGACCATCGCGCCAAGCGCGACTCTGTTGCTTTATGCGGCAGCATTCACCGTGACTCTTGCCGTGCATGGTGAGTGACCGCGGTTGCTTACGCAGTACTACGCCGTGAGCTGAGCTTCACCAGCCGTTTCTCTTCCTTCCCTTGCCTTCTCTTGCCGTCCGTTCTCTCATTCCACTGCATGCGGCATCACAAGCGTCTTCTGCCGGGCGCGCATCTGAACTCGTACCTGGTAGGCCATCGCTTTGCTGAAAGATCAGGCGCCTGAATGGCGACAGTGAGCGTCTCCTACTTATGGATTGCGCTCGAGGTACGAGGAGCGCAAGAGCGCGCCGCAGGCGAAGCGATTTTTGGGCGGCAGGGCTGTTCCTTTATCTTGTGATCACGCGCGAGCCTGTGAATAGGCCCCGGAGGCCTCAACCCCCAACTAAAGGGTTGACGGGGGGTCTCAACCGTCAACCAGATGGTTGAGGGGGGGCCTCAAGGCTCAACCCTTCAACCACCCCTACAGGTCAGCCGAATTTAAGATTTGAAGGCGGGGAGTCCGTTAGCCTTAAAATCTTGAAAATGTGTGAACGGACAGCTAAAATCTTGCGAAAATTGCGCCCCAGAGCTCTAAAATGGTATGTTCGTAAGAGCTACATACACTGAAAATCTTGGTCTAAAATCTGAAAATCGCCGGCCTGCGGCCGGCCTCTAAAATCTTAAATTCGGCGGACTTGTACGTACTTATAGCTTACTGGGAGAAAAGAGAGAGGGGGGTTGTATGGGCAGATTGCCCCTGGGCGGGCGCGTGTTCAGTGTGTGTGACCACGGGCAGGTCTCGATGGTCGAGGATGCGTTCGCCGCGGTGCTGTGCCGTCCACGCTGCGAGGTCACACTCAGGACCGCACCCTCCGGCCACGTATCGCTTCGTACATCCGTGGTCCATGCCGGCGACGGCTGCTGGAGGTCAGCGAGGATGGGTTCCTCAGCCGCTGCAGGGCGATTCATGGTCGCTGCGTCACAAATCGCTCCAGACGACGTGATCTGCGATGCGCCAGCATACTGCGTCTGTACCTTCGAGGAGTGGCGCAAGCGCGTCTGCGCGTCCTGCTTCTCTCTCGCCTCTGGTCGGCTCACGGTGCGGTGTCCCAACTGCGAGCACGCATTCTACTGTAGTGAGCAATGTCGAACGAGGCATCGGATCGAGGGGTCGGTGGGCTCAGCGCCGCACGGGCGCGTCTGCGCAGCGCTGCGTCGCTTTGCGCCGCTGCGAAAGTACGGCAAGTCGACGGCCAACGTACTGCGCCTGCTGCTGGAGGCACTCGCATGCCGCGCCGACGCTACCGACGCTGCCGACGCTGCCGACACTGCCGACGGCCTGTTCGACGCGCTGGTGCACCACCCTCCGCACTGGAGCCAGCCCAAGGAGGCGCAGGAGTGGGCGCGTGTCTCGGCGGCCTTCCGCACGCTCCTCTCGCGGTGCGATTGGTGGCACGCGCCGCCGCCGAGCGACGACGAGCTCTTCGCGCTCGTCAGCCGCCTCGACTCCAACATCTTCGGCTGCTTCGTCCGCGACGACGGCGCAATCTTCGGACACGCCTGCTACCTGCAGGCGGCCACCTTCAACCATTCCTGCGAGCCCAACTGCGTGGCCATGAGAGGCGTCGCGCGGATGCGCATCGTGGCGCAGGAGGCCGTGGCGGCGGGAGAGCCCCTCACGATCTCGTACATCGACGCCAACCGGCCCGTGCACGCGAGGCGGAAGGACCTGAGTGACCACTACCACTTTACATGCGACTGCCCACGCTGCACTGCCGAGGCCACCAATGGCGCCGTGCGCACCAAGCTAACCTATGGCGGGGGCGGGGCGCTCAGGCGCGACGCCGCGGGCAAGGATGCGCCGCGACGTGGGGGCGTGGCTAGCCCCCTCCCCAAAGCTCCTCCTCCACCTGCGGCGGCTACGAAACCTACCCGTCCCTGGTTCGAGGCTCTTGCGTGATATATACTGTGAGTGTCTATACTTTAGTGTGAACATATATCGTTTATCTCGACTGTGTGTGAGGAAAAAGTGGCTCTAAGGGGGGGTCGCTCGTCTTCGATCTTCCTTTATGCACGCGCAAGTAAAGAGGGCCGTGCTCGGCCGCGCGCTACGCGCGGTATAGTGTGCTGGGCGGTGGCGTGGGTGGTGGGTGGTGGGTCGCGTGGCGGTCGCGGGTCGGCGCCGCGACTTGCGCCGCGGGCGGGCTCTCTCGCGTCTCGGCGCTCTCCGGGCCACTCTCGCCTACGAGCATCGAGCTGCGTTCATATCGGCCATCACGAACGACGAAGCCCCCCCTTACGATTTGCCTTCCACACACACACACTCCGACGTCCAGGTGGGGGCGCTGGTGCAAGTGCGTCTTCAAGTCCGGAAGTCGCGGCCGTGTCGCGCCGCGGCGGCAGATGGCGGCCGCGCACCCTGCACCCGGCCACCCGCCGCTCCCCGCCGCGGTGGGCGCGGACCCGCGGAGAGATGGCGAGGCGGCGCCGAGAGGAAAGGCGGGGAGTGGCTAGCCGCGCGTCACAAACAGTCGACACAAACGCACGGTACTCTTTTTAGTCTTTTTATTCTATATTAGGCCACACAAGATGTATTCTCGCCAAGTAGCGCTCTCACGCGGCTGGCCGCACTCGGATTCTCGGCACCTGGCGCAAGCAGCGCCAGACCCTGTGATGAGGCAAGACTCGGTGCTTCCAGTGGTCGCGGCGGCACTGTCCACTGCCAACCGGTGGCCTGCCGCGACGTGGCGCCATCGCCGACGCTATCACGGCGGGCGCTCTTGAGCCGGTCACCCCCCGCCCCAAGCCGGTTCGCCGCCAAGGCGAAGCAGAGCGTCACGGCGAGTGTAGCCAGCCCGCGACGTTCGATGGTCAGGGCTCTCTCCGCAGCCGCGACCTGCTCGGCGCGGCGCGCCCGCTCCCAGGTCTGTCGTTGCTCCCGCCGCTGCGCCTGGAACACATCGGGACCGGCCTGGTGAGGGTCCGGCCTACAGGGAGGGAGAGGGCCCGAAGAAGGAAGACTAGGCATGTCTAGATCTGTGACCGAGAGGTTCGTCACGGCGCCTCCCACTCTGCTTGCGCCCGGAGCCGCGCAGCGAGCTGGGCCTAAATGGTGGGTGGGTGACGGCGGGGGTGGTGAGGTGGAAGCGGTGCACAGCAGTGGCCCATAGGGGTGAGTCTCGACAGAGGCGAAGGGAGCCACTGTTGTTTGTGCAAAGGAAGGGGGGGGGGGGGTAGCGGGAGCAGATGAAGCGGCGCCTCGAGCCATGCCTCTGAACGTAGCTGGGGGATTGGCCCGCCGATCTCCTTCATCCGGAGCGCCTCCAACTCTGCGGCGCGGGCCTCTGCTCGCGTCGCCCGCCGCTCCGTCGCATCAAGCTGCGCCTACTCAAGCTCGGCAGCAAATGGTGGGAAAGGCCGCCATCGCAACCCGTCGCTCTAGGGTACCAATGCCTCAAGCCGCCGCTGCGCCCGCTCTGCCAGCTAAGCGCAGGGAGGGGGGGTTGTGGACTGGAAAGGCGCCCGACGGTCGGGCGCTGCATGCCGGCTGTGGCTACATCGCAGGGGGCGTCTGCTCGCATTGCTTGGTGGCATGACGTGCCTGCGTCCTCGCGTCCAGCTGTGCCTCGACTCGCCTGATTGGGTTAGGGGGAGTAGCTGGCGGAAGGTGCCAGGGCCAACAGGCACAGGTCCTGAAGGCACTGAAGGCACTGCTGTCGGGCTTGTGGGGCCACGGGGAGCCAGGCTTGTCCGCCTCTGAACATGCGCTGCCTGTCGCGATTCTGCCGCCCGTTGGACATCGACGTGGCCGAATGCGCGTCGGTAGAGCTGCAGCCGCGCCTCCTGCTCCATGCCGCGAGAGCGCGGCGGGAGACTCTGGCTTTCTGCTAGGAGCAGCGACCGCTCCGCCAAGTCGACCGCGACGGTGCTGACCCTCAGCAGCGCAGCCCGCATGCGGTCCAGCTCGGCCCGCGCCGTCCTTGCCTCGCCCACCACGAATTGATCCACCTCCGCCGCACATCCCACGACTGGCTCAGCAATGGCGCCAGGCACATCCTGCGGGTACTCGTCGCAAGGGAAGAATTCGGCGCTCGAGGAGCCGTCCGACCCATCGTCGTCGTGGCCGCCCAGCGGAGAGCTGGTCATCTCGGGACCGTCGAGGCCGCCGGCCAAAAGTTCGAAACCCGTTCATCAATCCTCATTTTCTCGAATGGGATGAACGCGTCCGTCCTCGAATGCCAGTGAGCTGTGAGCTTGAGCACTTGAGCACTGAATAGGGTCGATTCCGCATGGTACGGGACCCCTCGATCGTCTCGCCCACCCTCACTGGTGTGATCATTGGGGGGGGTCATAACAAACACGGTGAGCTGTGAGGGTCGGCCACAGGCAAATTCTGCAAAGGGGTGTGAACGGAGAGAGCAAACTCCTGGCAGCTCCCACAGCCGAAATGTGCGCCAGCTGCCCGCTCACCTGTGTCACGCCGCCGCGCACGCACCTTGCTATGTGCTCGCGCGAGCTCCCGCCCGAACCTCCAGCTCGGCGTCCCACTGCTTGGGAGCCGATCGCTTTTCCTCGGCGCTCGCGTCGAGCCGAGCTCTCGGCACTCTACGGCGGGCGTCGCTGTGCGGGGCGCCCGTTTCCTGCTGGCCCGAGCGGAAAGCTCCACGCGCCCGCGCGAGCTCCCGGCCGAGCCTCCAGCTCGGCGTCGCACTGCTGAGGAGCAATTTGTCGTCCGTCGGTGCTCTCGAGGAGCCGAGCTCCTTGGCCTGCGGCCGGCGACGCTGCAGGACGGCGCGCGCGCACCCCCCCCTCCCTCACCCGCGCGCTCT